GAACTCTGGTGCGGTTCACTTTAGTTCTCTTCTGGTGTGAATACAGACCGGACTCTAACCGAACCAACTTAAACATGCACCTTTTTGGACTTTACATGCCACCGTTGCTGAGCTAAATAAACTTGAATCATACCTGTTTCATCGTCTCCTGTTAGCAGCTCTGCTGGTAGCTTGTAGTGGATCAGAACACGCAGAGCACCTCTTTGGGTTGCGGGACACATTTACTGACGTCGCTCCAAAATTAGAATTTCATCACGGAACCACCATTAAATTAGCTGCTTCTGACATTTTAAATGCTATTACAGTTGTAATATCAGCAAAAATGTGCACATCAGAACCGCAGCATGCAGGACTTCATTGTTTTCTTCTGGATCTGTGGCTCAGTCCCGCCCCTGTCCTTTTTTGTCCAATGGGAGCAATGATTGTCAGCCTCATGGCTTTGTTTATAAGTTATAGTTCATTTGCAGAAAAGCACAATGTGAATGCAAACAGCACCAAACAAAAAAAAATAAAGTCCATTTTTGGTCCGGACCAAACAATTGGACCAAAGGACTTTCCTGGTCTGAATACACCCTTAAATACACGTCCCAGGGGCATTTCTGGTCCCCACCTGTTGTTTTGCTCCTCAGCATGGCTGCCTAAAAACACTGCAGGATTTCTCAAACATGCACGAGTCACAGCAAGGCTTTGAGCATGTTTTTATGAGAAAATAACATTATAACATGATGTAAAACTCAAAAAAGTTGATTGTACATGATATTGCCCCTTAAAGAAATTTTGCGCTGTTTGTGTGACCATAGCTAAAAATGGTCCAAAAAACATACTTTGTTAGTCACAGCTTATTATTCAGCCATTTTTAGACATACAAAGCTGAAGATTAGTGTAGAAGTAACCAAAAACAATCTTTACCGAATTCAAAATGCTAATCAAAATTCAAGATGATTGCCACAGCTTTAAAAAGTTATAATTTATTTATAATTGTATGCCCATTTAAACTATATATACACAATAAAAAAAGATCCTCAGAGGGTGGTTTGGTGGTCTCGTTGCAGTGAATCCATCTCTTCCCACCTCTTCATCTTTTTTGGGAAATCTTCAAAACAAAAACAAGAGATTTAGTAGTGACTACACACAAATGTCACGAGGAGGTCAATCTTATTTTCTTTATTATACTTCCTATGTTCTCCCAGTTTTACTATTTTCCATTTTTACAGTTCTTAGACCCTTACTTCAACAAAACTCTTCTGCTGCATAATATCTGTTGATAATGAACCAAAACTGCTAAYGAGTAGCTTGTTTGAAAGTTATTCTAGTCAGACGTTCTGTATTTTGTTGTGAACATGACACATCAGAGTTAGGCTGAAAGAATTAGCTACATGTTAATAACAGTCTGCATCTGTGTAAAATTCCCTGGTGAACGCTATAACAGCAACATTTGTTTAATTTATACTGTTGCTGTTTGGTGTCAGTTAATCTAAATCAGTGTAAAGGAATAACTTACACTTTATGATTTATAATGTTGCACTTAGCTTTCATTGCCAGATGGATGAACATCAGTATAAAAACATAGCAAACATTAGCTGTCACTTCAATGGTGAACATAAATAAAGTACAGTAATATTTTACTCACAAAATACAAACAGTAATAAGKTCATCTTACGTGTGAAACTTTATCCTTCGAGCTCTGATTTCAAGAGTTTGTCAATTAGAACAGAAAAATGCCGCGCAGTGCTGAGCTGAGGCATCTTCTGTTGTTTGGGTTTAGCCAAGGAGACCGTTCTAAGATGGCGGCCGTATTTCATGTGCCGCAGCAGAGAATGCTGGGTGTACTCTGTATATGGTCTGTGCTTGCCACCACTTTTGGCTGCACCCCTGTTGGGGAAAGAGAGGTCTGGGCCTCCCTGCTCAATCTGTTGAGTCCACAACCTGACTCTGGAACAGGCGAAAAATGAATGAATGAATGAATGAATGAATGAATGAATGAATGAATGAATGAATGAATGAATGAATGAATGAATGAATGAATGAATGAATGAATGAATGAATGAATGAATGAATGAATGAATGAATGAATGAATGAATGAATGAATGAATGAATGAATGAATGAATGAATGAATATTGGTCAAGTTCTAAAGATTCAAAAGATTTTGTATTGACCTTCATTTTGGCCACTTCAGATCTTCACCTGACCTCTCTGAAACCTTCCCTCAGCACATTCAGAGATTTGTGAACGCCACATGGATGCAGAGGTACGGCGCTCCAGTGGATGAGTTCACCAACCAGAGCATCTGGTCCTTCATTGTGGCCATTCTGAGTTTGGGAGGCTGGGCCGGGACCACTCACAGTAGCCGCCTGGCTGTTACCTACGGACGGTGAGACAAAAAAACACACACACACAAATTTGAGCTTTGTAGCTTATTAGAATATTGTATTGACTTCACTCATTTCTGTAGTCTAACTCTGATCATAACTTGTACACATCCAGCCCTAATTAATACCTTGAGCCATAAACCTTAAGACTCAATGATGCTCCACCATATTAGAACTGAGCTTTGGTTCCCAAAAGGATTACAGGTCCTGAAATGGTGGATACATATGCCAGAAAAAAATCCAAAAATAACAAAAAACAATTCTTATTTATTGTCATTTGCCACTGTAGAACCTTTTGAGTGAAACTGCATATCTGTTGCTGATATTACACCTGAATTTCCCCTCTGCTGGACAATAAAGGCTGTTTCTATTGTAACCATAAACACACATTTTAACGCACATGTTTATTTACCACAAAGGTGAGGAAAATGTGGCACCATTTAAAAAGCAAATTAAAGGGATCCACGATTAGTTGTAATATTAGACTTTATTTGATAAACGTATATTTTAACTGTAAAATAAAGACTATAAAAATACTGTAGGATGTCCAGTTGTGTAAATTTTTTTAAATATATTTTAACATGGATGGAGCCATTTTATTTACACGCAAAGCATTCTGGGTAAATGATGACATGGATAGGTCCTCGGTGTGAGCGAGCTAT